TGCTTGGCTGACCACAATGGCGGACCGAGTCGTTGCGCCTCGTAGTGACGAACAAATACATTTCGTAGTTATTCCCTGAATGTATTGCGGCACCAAGGCTGCGCCATCCCGAGTCCAATCAGAATGGTTTGCTGTACCGAATAAGTCCTAGCCCTTCTCTGAGCCGATTCATACTTGGCCATACACCGAATATATTGGCTACAGAACCAACTTAGTGAAACCATACTTAATAGGTCAGAATGTTATCACTACTTTTCGGATGACAGTAACTCATTGGGTGACTAACTGAATGGTTAGTCGCCTGACGATGGATCGCTATCTGAAATATGCTGGTACTATTTGGGCCTATTTATTATTTTTAGTCTAAATTGAGCGTGTAGTCAATGTGTTCTTTGTTTGCTGTACCTGTTATGTCATTCGCCATTGACATCGCCGCTCAACTTCACATCACAACACAGGACTGCCCCGACGCGGCCAATGAGCAGGCTGCATTGCGTGACGTCACGCTTCGGCGCGGCGCGGCGCCGCCATATGAATGAGCGCGCGGTCCGATAAATTCGGCCGGGCGGCGGCGGCAGTAACTCGCGCTCCCGGCGGCGGCACGGCTGGGCTGTCGCCGCGCCGCAGCCCGGCCCCCGCCGCTCGGCGCGCCGCTCTCGGCCAGGGTGCAGCTGCACGTGCGGCAACCGGCTAGGGTGCGGCCGACACGGGCTGAGCGTCGGCACCCGCGGGTGCAACGGGCTCACAAGTCGACGGCGGCGCGCAGCTGCCCCCCCCCCCCCCCCCCCCCTCCTTCTCCCGTCACGACCTGAGGTTAGACCCACGGTTTAATTTCGGCGATTCGAGTCGCTGAGCCCCTGCCAGGGGCCAAAAATCATTCAAGAAGGCGTAGCGTCAACAGTATTTTGAAGCACATCCCATTAACGCACCACATTAGGGTCCATATAAAGTTATCGCGAAGTGTAGGTGCAGTGGTGTGTTCTCCCCCCCCCCCCCCCCCCCCACTCCCCGTCTCCCTGACACCGTCCTGTTCGTACACCCGTGGGACGATGGTTTTACAACGGAGCGCTGGGACGCAAGGAAAAGGGGAGAGGCCCAGGTAGTTCGATGTTTGTTCTGCGCGAGGCTCTCAGCCCAGGCGCGACTGGCGAGTGGATGGCAGGGACGTGGCGTGCACAAGACAGGACGCCAGCGGCGCGACCCACGCGGTGGCAGTGCATCCTTTGTGGGGCTCAGATCATGCATCGCATGTCATCAACATGGCTCGGCCGGCGCGGCTGCGCAGAAGGAGCGGTGCTCGTCGGCTCAACAGCGCGCGGCGCCCGCTGATGTGAAGAGGCGCCCCAAGAAGCGCCATCTGGAGGCGTGCTGATGGACTGCTGACGGCAGCCGGGCGGCCCTCGCCGCAGCTCAGGCTCGTGATCCCGCCGCTCCGCTGACTCCGTAATCGGACAGACAAATGGCGCGGCGGGGAGCCGGATGGACCCACTCCATCTCTGTGCACGTGGACAACCGCTCTGTGGTGGAAAACACGGCGTTTCGTCAGACTTGGTGATGTTGCAGGTAATGTAGGCCAGAGGCGCAGCCAAGGAGGCCCGGCGTCGTCCCCCCAGCCCCCGCGGTTTTGTTCTTTTAGCACGGTAGATGGCTGCCGACAGCACGTCAAAAACCATCGCGATAAGTTCTCGCTAAGCTTCGGGCTCTCCATGAAGCAAGCCCTGGCTGCGCCTCTGATGCGTTCTGCTGCGAGGGTGTGGAGACGCAGTGCACACGCCGCTTTTTTTTGCGGTGCGCGTCTGCGCAGGACAGATTCGGTGCGTTGCAGGAAGGATGATGCCCTTACGGACATAACCGTTAAGGTGCTGAATTCTGTTCCCGCAGTAGGTGTTTCTGAAGTGTCATCAACCGGACCACTTCATGCAACGAATGCCATCTCCTTTCTCATTGACGTCGTGGAGGATCTGCTATCCCTGTGCTGGCACGATCGCATAATTACAAGTCTTGCAGAAGTTATTCGTCATGGGTTCGGCCCCGACTACTTGTGGCTGTGCTCCACGAACATGAGATGAAAATTGACTGGCAGGCAATGGCCAAAGGCAAACACATTAGCAATTCAAAAATCCTCTCGTTCCATTTCTGCACGTACCAGTGGGCAGTTGGAGTAACCTTATAACGCAGTCCGGACGGCGTAGGTGACGAAGTACCGGCTCATCTAGCAAGGTCACGTCTAGGAAGAAATAATAAATAAATGAATCCTGTGAACACACATTACAGAATTGCGAAAAACAAAAATAATTGCATGAAAAAGTGCTTAAGATATAGCTGTACTTATTTCGTAGGGTGTAGCATAAAAGCACGGCCTGAAAGGTTGGTTGAAATTATAAAAAATGTGCCAAACCTCGGTGAGCGCTTCCCTCCAGCTCCCATGCCGATTGGTGCCGCCTCTCCGCGTGGATGCTCCGCGCCGGACGTTTGGCCGATCGGAGCGCCACCGCCGCCGAGGGGCCGCGTCCAGCCCGGCTCGCAGCGGGGGTCGCCACGGCCGCTCTTATCAGCCGCACCCCTGGCCGGACAGGTGTCGGCGGGAGGAGGTGGCACCCGCCCGCGCCCGCGCCCGCTGCGCCGCGCGTATCTCAAATCAAACGAGGGCGTGGGCCGGCGGCTCGGATTTACAGCGGTGCATCGCGACTAACTGCGGCTCGGTAATGGCGCTGTAATGACGGCGCGGCCGCCGCCCTGCCGCCCGGCCGGCCCGACTCCGGATGGCGGGGGCGGCGCCAACGCCGTCCAGTCACTGTACCGCAGCGGCAGCGGCTGCGCCCACCCGGCCCCCGGGCCGCAGGGCTGCAGCCTCTCAGGTCCGGACTGCCTCTGCTGCGCGGCCACCGCCGTGCCGGCTCATTGGATGGCTTCCATGACCTCACCCCAGGGTATGCCTTCACACACGGATAGCAGCTTTGGCAGCGGTGGGTTAACAGTATCTCTCATCCCGCCCCATGTGTCCCAGGTTTGGACTAGCGGATATGACGACTATATCTTCCCTTAGCAACGACCTTCACATTGCAATTGCCGTAGCCTCGGTACCCCAGCCCCAAAGCTGGCCCTGGGGCTTTGGGGCTTGTGTTACAAGACGTGCCGGCCGGGCGCAGTGTTTGAATCCCGCTGACCGTGCGGAAGCGGGCGGGCCCAGGCTGCTGGCCGGCGACGCTCGGCGGCGCCGGCGGCCGGCCTCGTCTCGAACCCTCGGCAAACAGTGACGTCACAGGCCTCGGGTGGAGCGGCAGCACCAAGTGCAAGCTGACTGACTGCCATTTTGCACCATAAATCGTACAGATTGCTGATAATTGTACATGCGTTTGCCCGCAAGTCTTTGACGTTGTTTGTTGCAATGAGATGAGCTACCAATCATACAGAATGACAGCTTAGTTACAGTCGCTTTATATGCATATTACTGAACATTTGTGGGCTTACCTTCGCTCACTCACTCACTGGTTGTGTCTCTTCTTGTCCGCCCTCAAATCTTTGCATTGGCATTTCCTTCTCTAACATAAAGCTCAATCACTCAAAACTCACTAAAGAAGTGGCGAAACGGGTGATTTTGCGCGCATGCTCTTGGCCGTTCCTCTAAGAAGTTTAGGAAGTTACTCCGTGACCGAAGGTCTTTTGCAAACAACACAAGCGTCCAGGTCTGCTAGAGCGCCTGTTTCCGGCGCCTCTGCTGCGTCTGTGGGCGTTTTGCAGCGCCCTCCTGCAGGTCGACCTTCGCTCCAGCACCGCGTGCTGTCCTTGACTCCCTCCTCTGAATGACTCTGCGCTTCCTCCCCTGAGCCTCGCCGCAGCTCGTGCTCCCTGCGTCACCCCTCGTCGGGGGACGCCGCCTCTCAGCCGCCCGGCCTCAGCCGCCGGCGCCGGCGCGCTGCGGCCGCGCCGAACCCACGCCGGCCGGCGGCATCCGCGGAGAGGCTTCGCCTCGGGGCATGCTCCGAGGACCGCTGCTAGCCCTGACTGGTCGTCGCGCACCTTAGATTTACCGCCAATCGGTCGCGGGCGAGAACTGGCGGCCGACAGGCGTCAGACTGAGGCGTGCAGAGTGTTGACGAGTGCAAGATACACTCTGTAAAACCTGCTGTACGAGCAGCCAAGTATTCTTCACCTGCAAGCGGAAGGCAGGCCAGGCTGCCGCTGCAGCGAACGAGCTCAGGCAGCCAACCTGTGTCGCCGGCCGCGCGCCGCTGTGACGGCGGGGACTCGTGGCCCTCGCTGCCGGCCGTCAGCCACCCCGCCACGAATCGGCTGCGTGTGGCCGCTCCTCCGCTGACGTCACTCCGCCAAGCAGCTCGGGTCACGCCCGCAGCCGCTGCAGCAGGTGGCATCTGGGCACTGCCGCCTTCGGGCGGCACATTACGGCCCGTTCGGTGCGCAATCGCATGAGCCGTTTCTGCGCGCGGCGTTAGCTGGGAACCGGGGGGCCATGTGCCGTCTGCTGCGCGGGCCGCGCGGCCGTTACCCGCGCGGCATTGTTCGGCGGCGCCTGCAGCGGCCGAAGTGCGTCGGCCGACGCAGAGAGATAGCGACCGCAATGATGCCAGTCACGCTTTCTCAGAAAGATATGCAGCTCATTTGTTTTCCGGCTGCACGGTGACCCCTCATCCGGGACGGCGCCGAGGAGCGGTCGGCGCGGCCGAGAGCGCGCGCAGAGGCCGCCGGTCGGCGATTGTCCGGCACCGGCCCTGGGACGCGCTCGTTAATCACGGCCGCCGCTGGAGCTGAGTCGACACTCGATGTCACTTGACCCAGTCGGCGCTAATCGCAGCCGAATGCCGCCCGCTGATTGGTGGGCCGTGACGAACGGCGCCGGTCACTGTTGGTTAATCTCGGCTGCCTGTTATGACGGCCAAGCCCCCTATTGTGGGCGCGTGAGCGCCAGCGCTCCCTACGTGCAGCGGTGCTTGGCTTGACGCTGTCCTTTCACTGCAATCGCTGTCTTTTCAGGTTGCCGTGGTCTCCAACGGTGCTGCAGCAAGGGCCAACAGGGTGAGTACGTGAGTCGTGAGACCGGGCGGGCGCAGCTCATTGGCAGATGTTCTCCGAACCGCTTTGAAGGTTATTGGTGCACACTTGGCTCCCTAGAAACCACACAGTGATAGGCAGGCAAGGATCACGAAATAAGCATCGCGGTCCCCCTTAAAAGCAAGGCAAAATGGGAGTCCACCCAAGGTGATGAGTTAGAGCTCCAGATGCACTTTTTAGGGCTCAGTTATAAAAACGAGGTCGCGGAAGTCATGAGTGATTCTAATTACACCGTCACTGCGCACCCATGCAATTAATACCCCGTCGTTTCAATGCATCTCCCCAATTGATCGCAGGGGAAAGCGTAGCCTCCAATGATTTGATTGCCGGTATGGGTGATGGACAGCAAGTGAGAGATGATTGAAATGCGTGCAGACTGGCTGATGTAACGCGGACTCACTGGATCAGGCACCTCCAAATATCTGATAGTGATAAGTTGCCTTTGTGCCTGGATCCGAAGGATGAATTCTGAACCCTGTAAGGCTTTCACTGGATCCTGAGATCGATTTTGGAGATCCAGGCACGTATCCGTTTACAATATTCCATGCACCCATTTCAAATGAATTTTGCCAATCGATATGTCCTGCCGTAGCTAATCCGAGCATATATTAACCCGCGCGAAAAGAACAGCCTTGAACGAAAAGACGCCTGGCATTGCGTTGAAGAACTTTATCAGCACGTGGGCACGGGATGTGCCAGGGGTTTCGCCGAGGAGAGGTCCCGCTCTTGCATGAGTCGTCCCGCAGCGCGGGCGCGGGGCAGACAGAAGAACGCCCATTCACCGCCGGATTGTGTTGCGTCCCGGCTGAGACCGTCCTCGTGTTTTTGTGCCACTCGCCCCGCCTTATCGGAGCTCAGCAAAAACGGGCGCCCGCGTCCGACAGCAGCACAGCAACTCGGCAACACTTTGGCTGCGGGCTTGTCCACCTTGCTCAGGTGGATGGCAGCCAGTAAAAACTCTTTTCTGTTGTATTCCCCAACGGAGGCTACTGAAAGGCCGGCATCTTCTGTGGTTTGCAGTTGGCAGATTGGGCAGGACTGCGAATCTTCAAGGGATTGGCCAATTCAGATATTTATTTGGCCTCATTTTTTCCCAGAGCGAACATAAACTTTGCCTCCCTAATACATATTTTTCAACCTCAACACATCATGAAGAACTTGAGCCCATCAACTGCGCGCTTTTCTTCAGCCGTCACCCTCTGGCCAAAACGTTGTCAAAATGGAATGTCTCTACTGTATATCCGTATTTCATAGGTCATTGTTCTGGCCGAAACTCGGAAGAATTATTGTGGCGTAAAGAAATGATTCCTTCTAAAATTAATTAAAATTAATCCAGTATGCCGCAACTATTTCCATCTTCAACTCACACGCCATCTTTTGGTAGCCTCAGTCCAACATTATAATGAGCGTGAGATGCATTTTAATGCATACATAGCAGTTGAACACTATACAGAGTCCAAGCAGAGACGTATGCAGAGTTTCGCAGTGGGAGAGGTGGGCGTGACCCAAAAATAAGCACTGAAAACTCAGTTCAGCCCGGAATTTCCTGCCGGGCTAGCGGAGCTCCTTGCATAGCGTCCTTAGCCCGGAGTTTCGCGCGCGGGCGCGCGGGTCTTCTTGCATAGCGTAAAATGCCGTCGCGTGTTCTCAATCTGGTCCTTTTTTGTGTCTTCTTCAAATTTTGAAAGGTTGATATTAATTCGTGCACTTCATGCATGTGATGAACTTGATATGGTACAAGGGAGGGATGGCACGTGCGTCCGTCCACTATGGTAATGCGCCCCTGAATCCCGCGGTCGGGATTGATTTTAGTCTCAAGATCCCAGAATCCTGAACCCGAAATTGCCACCCCTAACATGTACCTCTTCTATCAGCATCATAGGATCATGGAGGACGCTGCCTCACCCCGTTCCTGAGCTGGGCGCTGATGCATATTGACCTGCTGTAGGATGAATGTCCGCCATCTCCTCGTTACGGATAATCTGTACATTGGTAATTACTGAACCGTAGGAGTGCATGTTCCAATCATGGAACTCTAATCGTAACATGATTCGTGAAAAAATCCCGCGCTACACTCCATTCCAGTAAGGTTATATGCTCCGCTTACCATCCAGCCACGTCTGTGACATCTTGTGCCTTGGAACGGCGGTATCGGTATCGACCGGTATCGGTATCCCATCGACCGTTAGATGCTGACCGGTCCGTGACTCTGGCGACGTCACTCGTGCCCCAGTGCCCGGTGGATGTTCCTGCACCGCCTCCCGCGGCGGGGAGGAGTCGGCGTCTCGCCGCTGACCCGCCAGGTCCGGCCATAGGTCAGGGGTCACCACATTTATCAGCATGACCGCGCGTCGCACCATGAATATGCATGCCGATGACTTTCCGTTTGCACATGTTAAGAACGTCGCGAGCCACCGTCAGATGCAGCGCCTTGAAAGGCATGGGTCAGCGCGGTCGTCGCTGCGGGTCGCGCGTGTGGACTGGCCTGTGGTCACCCAGGGTGGCGTGTTGTGGCCGCCGGCCGGGGCCTCGGCGCCCCGAGCGGCCCGCATCAGTTGGCCGATTGGCCACGGCTGGGACGGAGGTCAGCGCGGAAAACGCAGCCAGTTACCAAACGGGCTTTCACTGGACGCCGTTATCTCGGTAGCGTATCTGCCGGCGACGTCACGCCCTTATCTGAGAGGTGACCACCGTCCCAGTGACGTCATCCCACTCTCTCGGCGGCGTGTCCGCTGACGATGCCACGCCATGTCTTGAAAGGCCGCCACCTTGCTAGTGGCGTCACGCCATGTCTCACGGTAGCGTATCTGCCAGCAACGTCACGCCTTTATAACGCTTTCTCAGCAGCGTGACCGCTGACGATGTCACGCCTTGACCTGTGAAATGACCACCTTGCCATTGACGTCATCCCCCTCTCTCGGCAGCGTGTCTGCCGACAACATCACGTCTTGTCCTGAGAGGTGGTCACCCCATGAGCGGTGCAGAGCATTGCGCTCCCATGAAAGCCTGTCTAACGTGGCGTTGAAGCGATAATTCGAGACGCCTTTCCAAAGGCAACATTACGCCTTCATGTGGTAATCTGTGCTGAGATTATGCGTCAGACTGCCTTGAGCTGAATCGGTGGTTTGTTTTAAAAGGTGCCTTTGACTCTGCACTTGGATATGGGTTTTACCTGCTCCTTTTATTTATTTCTAACGCTGAAACGTGCAACACGAATGGCGGCTCGCGCTCACGCGAGCGTGACTTGCCGCGCGCATGGACGCACATTTGTGTCAGCGTGATCGTCCGTTACCCTTTGTCAACCAAATCGTATTTAACGCGTCCAACCGTGCGCCTGGGACTTCAGGCTGCTGATATCCGGCCCTTTTTCGGCCCCTGTCGTACCAGTTTTTGGCAACTTCAAGTTAGATGCTCCCCACGGTAATTTGTTGGAACTGGACGACGTTTTGGCGTCTGCACGTGCCGTCGCCATCACGAGATGTCACTTACCATAAATTCGAACTACGAAATTGCAGTGCAACGAACTCTTGCGGCGATCAGGTTTTTCAGATCTATAGATTCTTTCTGAGGTACCCGTAGGTCATCCTCAATGTTGACGGCCGAAACAGCCTTGGACGAGTCGTGGCGTGACAAGAGATTCGGTCAACGGTATGGCCAGTAAGCGGATACTTATGCTGGCAACAGAAATGATACGATTGAAGTCGCATCACATTACAACATTTGCTTCATCGTTTGATTTCCGGATACATTTCGGTCCTATTGCAGCGTTGCAGGGATACCGCGACCAATCAGACGGCTCGCATGCAAATCCACTGGAAAGATTGCAACACGACTTTCAAATAGTCCCGGTACATCTTTCTGAAAGCTGCATGTAGCTACGATTGCCAATTGCAAAGATTACAGGCTTGTAAAGACCGTGACGTTCTGCCCGGATCGCTTAAAAGGAGTGTCTCACTTCCGGGGCATATTTCCAAACCATACTCTGGTGAAATCTCAGTACCATTTGCGCCTGATAATAGCGCTGGGTAGCACCACTGCAGCACCATTAAGATACAACAAAGAAGCAAACTTTCCTTACCTTCCATTCCGAATTACGCTGTCAATGCTTTGTAACAGCACTACACTTCTTTCTTTCTTGGCAGCCGCAGGGTGTATCCCGAGCCTGCGACAACTGCAGTTGTCGCGACCGCCACCGTCATGACGGCAGAATCTGCTGAGGGCCGTTGTGAGCTGTTGCAGGCTACAGGGACCTTTGATGAGCTGTTTTAATCCGCACATGCGGGCATGCGGGCTTAAAAGTAACACCTCTACTGGTGCGAATAACGTAAGTACAAATGAACAGCTGTGGACACTTGTGGCACAGCGAGCGGCAAAGGCGAGTTACCGAGAAGCGCATCGGTTGAAATTTGAACCAGTGCGTCAATATAGGCCTTGTGATGCTCCGGTTCCCACAGCCAAATTGAGCTTCGAAAAGAACCTCTGCGCCAAACACCAAAGGGGAGAATAAAAGTTATAGCATAACGTTTTGTTGACCTGGTGGGATGACAGCCTCATGTTTACATGTGTTTTCCCTAAAAAAAGTGTTGGAAACCTCTTTAGAATTCTTGTACAGACATTTTGACAGCTTAGTGTGTTGCAAACCTATGAGAGCTACGAGAAAACTGGCATTGCCGATCAGATCGGACGGGTCTGATCTAACAATGAGTGAAAAGTACAAAAAGGTGGCATACTTCCTTTGAGTCGAAAAGCATCTCATAGTTTACGAGTAGGCGCTTTAGACGCACCGCGACACCGGCTTAACTCATTGCTCTCTCACACTCATACTCACTTCACTCACCGGTGAGCATCCGGAGGTGGGTGTACGATGTAATGTACTATTTATGCATACCGCTGAACTTCGCGTAGCTCGCTGTGCTCGCCGACGAACGCCGCGAACTGATGGGGTGAACAAAAGTGTATCGAAA